AATGGTTGGAGCGTCACGGCTCCCTGGTTGGGGTCCAAAAGACGGTGAACACGTTTGGCTAGATACACTTGCTGACATGGCAAGGTGCCGACCTCAGTGGCGTTCGCGTTGTGAGTTTCTTTGTCCCACCCCATCCCTTTTAGCCTCCCCTCCAACCACGATCTCATTTCGTAGCGTAATATAATTTTACATAATAATTTTAATTTTTGCCTAATAGCCGGTTGGTAACTTGCCGGAAAGATGCCTATCCGTTGCTGGTAGCTCAGCTGGCATTCAACTGTTGCATTTATTTTCCTTTTCCTTTATGTATTGCGGCACAGTAGCTGAGGTGTTTCCCACCTTTAGCTAACGTGTAGAATGAATTATATATATATATATATATATATATATATATATATATATCGGCGATCGAAAAAGTCTACTGATCCCAATTCAGAGGCAACGAAAAGGAGATCACCAGGAGCAATGATTAATCCAGATACCTAAGTTGGCGAAGCGCACTCCGACGACATTTCTAGAAGTTTAAAGTCGTCTCCGTGAAGTGCAACTGCGAGGTCTATAGTTAATGAGGTCCAGGTTATGCGTAGGAAAAATGAAAGAAACCACCTGAAACCCGAGTCACCAAAACAGGCAGATTAGGTTGCGTAAATGCCAACTTCTCGCACAACCGTGTACAATCGCCTGCAGTGTCTCCGCGGATCCAAGTTGAATCCCCAGTTACCCCTATTACAAGATGGCCAAAAATTGGACTGTCCCCTCGGGTTCTACGTCCGGGTGAACTTTAGAATGAGATTTAAAGACGGAAAGTGACAGCGACAGGCATCACTACATGTATGGTACATAAATGCATGTAGCTTAGGGACAAGCGCGGGGAGCGGACGCTGAGTTGCACAGGTGTTGATGTGGCCGCGAGTACAGAGACCTGGCCTTCTTCAAATGATTTAATGTGTCTCCTAGCTGAATGTCCGGAATACAGAAAAGACCGTCCTAAGTACCAAAGTGGAGGTGGGGTGATTGCGCTTATTCGTTCGAACTATAGTCATTGGGAAGCCGTTCACCATGTGCACTCCAGGAGGTGAGGTCGAACAAATTGTTCGTGTTTAACGCAACCCATTCTCCACGCCAGAAGACGACTAGGAAACTTAGCGAG